ATACCTATCCCAGAGACATGATGATAATTCAAAAACTTGGCTACATACATATATACATGCATACTATAGAATATTTAGCTCCTTTTTAAAAACTATAATAGCTAGAAGTAATGATATAAAAAACCTTTCAAGTTATTGTGCGAAAAGGTTGTAAAACAATTTGTATTTATTAAAAGGCATATGTGCAGATACAGTTATTCATTTAAATGCACACTACAGGAATAGCAAAGACACTTCAAAGCTCACATGATAGTGAACATCTGTGGGGGTGAGAAGGAAGGGGGAGGGATGGAGATATTAAGGTTTCCCTCTACACATTAGCAAGCAGATTGGAGAGGCATTCAGAGTATTTGTGGGCTTTGGGATCACACACCTTCAAACTCCAGTTCTGCTGTTCTTCAGGAACACAAACCTTAAAAGAGTAAGTCACTAAACAATCCCACACCAGTTTGAAATTATGATTAATAAAAGGATTATTTATTTAAAGGAAAAACTCACAGATAACCGTCCTAGACAACAGCCCTCTGCATGACCAGGAAAAGAGTCTAGTAGTTGGAAGCAGAGTCCGAAGCAGGGGAGGGAGTGCTCGGCTACAGCTGCTTTTTCAAAGCCAAAGAGACCACGCCCAAGTGGGCTGATATCTTAAAGGCTATTGGCTGAAGGAGTGGAAGGAGCTCCCGCAGCACAAACCCAGGGTTTCCTGTAAAATAAATGTGGTGCGAGTGTCACAAAATTCCTAGAATTCTGAGAATTAATGTAGGTGAAGCAGAAAAAATGTTCTTACTAAATATATAGAATATACAATAGTCAGTATTAAAATTTTTAGTTGTTTGAATATTTACAATGAAATATATTCATATGCTATTTGTGCCTGGAAAAATCACAATCAAAAACGCTTTTCAACAAAGAGCAGAAGGTGAGAATGTGAGAATTTAGAAGAAATACAAATCTTTGCTATTATTCTACTACTCAGAGACATGTTCACCCCCTGACTATAATATATGCAAACATGTAAGTCACAGATCGTGTTAGACAGACCCGCAACTCAAAATTGATATTATATTTCTTTCTATTAAAAATGTATAGAAGCCTGGTGGTGGTGGTGCACACCTTTAATCCCAGCACTCGGGAGGCAGAGGCAGGTGGATCTCTGTGAATTTGAGGCCAGCCTGGTCTACAAGAGCTAGTTCCAGGACAGGAACCGCTGAGCCATCTCCCAGCCCCTGAGTTCTCAAATTTGTCAAATTAAATACATCAGCAGAATTTTCTTGAAGAGTCGTTTAGTAATTACGGCAGACTCTAAATCCTGATGGAAATAATTTCTATGGAAAAGTTTTCTAGCTGATCATTTTTATTTTATAGTTTGGTTTAATCCTTTACAAAATTGTTCCATTTGTCTTTTCCCCTTAATAATGTTATTACTTTAAGGAAGTGATAACTGGTCTACAACCTTATCAAATTTTAAGAGTCAAGTGAGTATCTTGTTGGAAATATGTATTCCCAGAGCCCCCTTTTGGAGAACCTGATTCTGCTGGTCTGGGACACGATAAAGGACTCTACAGAAAGCAAGTTAGGGAACCCTCAGAGGGATTGTGTCTGCCACAGGAAGTAGCTATTTCATAAGGTGTTGGATGAGTTTCCTCTTCATCCTTAATGCTTCAACTCTATCTTGGCTACTTTGGAACTTTTACATTTCCATAGAACTTATACACGGCTTATCAGTATCCACCAAAGACAAGACGGGCAAATAAGAGCCGCAAGAGGGGTAAGCGGTGAGTATGGAGGACAATAGAGCGCATGAAGTGAGAAAGAACAGGTGGGAATACTGTGGGTGGGAGGGTTTAAACTCAAAGTGGGGACAGAGAGACTCGGAAAAGATGGGGGGTAGAGGGGAGCTAGTAGGTATAAAAGTACTGAAAGTAAACAAAAAGAGGAAGCACCGCTTTAAATTATAAAATAATGAGAATAGAATTCTAACTGCTCTTCTTTCCCACGCTGAGTTCCAGTGCTGTGGCCGGGCAGCCTTTCTCTCACTGAATGATGCCCTTCCAGAATGCCTCACAATCCTTTTCCACCAAAGCTATGCATGCTTTGTAGACAGGTTCCTAAATAACTGTTAAGGTTTTTTGCTAACCTGAATGGAATATCTAGGGAGTGGGCGTTAGTGTGAAAGAGGAAGAAATATCTTACCCAGAGATTCACAAAACATCCAAGTTGAAAATAGTAATTTACACCACAGTCTACTTCCTTCCCCTTGAGAAGTAGGACTCAGCAAAATGTCATGAATCCTGTTAGGTCTTATCCCTCCTCCCTTCCCCACAGTAGAAATGCTGGCTCATAGTGTCCTCTGCTCCAGCTCATAACTGTTGTCTACTGTGATATATTAAATTACACTCCCCCATTCCCTGTCTGAGGGCTTCCTGTTATTCCAGGCTCTTGAGAACACTTGGTGCAAGCTGCATTTTCATACCACAGATGCTGTTTTTTAACGGACAAGTAAAAGTTGTACATTTGTGGTCTACATGTGTGCATCGTGGGATGGTTGAATTGGTATGCACTGTAATAAATACTAACTTTTGTGGCGGAGACACAATTTGCTCTTACCAGTTGTCAAGCGTATGGCAGAGTTTACAACCATTCTACTGCTGGCTTTGTTGTTTCGTTAGCAGAGGTTGATGTTGTAAGATTTCACGTGTGAGATCATGAAGCATTTAATCTTGCTAGGCCTGCTGGTTTTACATAGAATAACAGCGTGTTTCCAAGTGTGTGTAGTCCTGAGTGGCTGCCTTTCTCTCTTTTGAAAGTTGACTTACATTCATCAAGTGTTTCTTCATTTTCTTTGTCCGTTCATCCACGGTAGTTGACCCCCTGTGTCGGTTGCTGTGACAAGACGCTGCCATGAGAAGAGGGCAGGTGTCTCTTCGCTTTCTGACCCCTTCCTTTCACTAAGTGCCCAGTAGTGAGCTCGTAAAACCAAATGATGGTTTTATCTTTTATTCCTTTTGAAGAAATTCCATACTGTTCTCCTTAAAGGCTGTACTAATTGACGCTACAACCAACAATTTGGAAGGCTACCTGTTTTCTCCTCATCCTCAGAGATACATGTTATCTTCTGTCTTTTTTAACAATAGCTACCCTTACAGGTACAAATGATAGCTCCCTGCACTTCTAATGTTCATTCCCCCGAGGAACAAGGAGTGCTCATGTTTTCTTCACATGCCTTTCGGCCATTGGTCTGTCTTTCTTGATGAATGGCGGCTATTCGGATTTTCCCCCATTTTCAGACTGAGCTGTCCATTATCCTACTGTTCAGTTGTCTGAGTTCCTTATTTTGGAGACAACTCCTTATCAGGTGTGCAATTTGCAACTATTTCCTCCCATTCCAGAGGTTGTTTCCTCGCTCTTTCCATGGTTTCCTTCACTATGCAGAAGGTTTGTATTGGGGTGTAATCCTGTTTGATTAATTTTTACTGTTGGCTTTCCTTGTTCTTTGGTGTTATACCAAAAATTTATTGCCAGACTTCTGTCACAGACCAAGTTAATAGACTCATGTGGTAGAACAATGTAATAGAATTTTCCACTATGTATCCTTCCAGCACTTTGCAGTATTATCTTATCTCTAAATCTTTAATCCATTTCCAGTTTAGTTTTGTTTTGTTTTTCAGTCAGTATGAGGTAAGGATTGTAGCTCAAGTAGTGGGATACCTCTGTGTTTGTTTGTCTCAAATTTTCTTTGGTTACTCAGAGACATTTGTGGTTCTATAGGAATTTTAGAATTTTTTATCCTTTGAAAATGCCATTAGAACTGTGATGGGAATTGCATTGTCTACGATGAGCAATTTTATCAATGTCTGCACTCCATGAATATTCTGGAGAGTATTCCATTTTTTTCTTTCAATTCCCTTAATATGGTGGGTGACTTTCAGTTTCCATGTCTTTGGGCTTCTTGGTTCAGTTCCTACAAGAACCCCTCCACTCACAAAGAAGAACTTTTCATTTTCATTTCCGAGGATTCGTTGAGCCAGTAGATAGTTGTACACCTTGTGCCATGGGATTCGTTGTTGACACTATGTGCTGTACAGTTTAAATACGTGTGCACACGCAAATGGGAGTGCAAGTATGTGGCAGCCGCAGCTGAGTCTTGGTTACTGTCCTCAAAAGGTCTCTTCTGATTTTTGAGGCAAGGTCTCTCACTGAATCTGAACCTTGCTGACTGGTCAGCTAACCTTACAGATTAGCCTCATGATCTCTCCAGAGCTGTGATAAAAACTCCACGCTCTCACGCCTGGCTTTTTGGATGGTCCTGCACGTCCAAATCCAGTCTTTATGCTTGCACAGTTACGCACTCTATGGACTTGGCCATTTCTTCAGTTCCTCATTTAGTTTCAATTCCCATTTCACCGATATGAAGTCAGTGAGTACGTTTTCTATATTTTTAGATGTCTGTTATTTGTTTGGATCTCATTTGTGAAATGCCTGATCAAATTTGTCAACAATTTACTATTGGGTGTCTCTTTTTCATTGCTTTGTAAGGTTTTGTGGCATATTTTGAATATTAATTCAGCTTCAGTTGCATCTGTCACTTGCTTGGTTACTTCTTCTACATGACTCTGGAAAGCAAAGTTACTCACTTTAAAGGAGGCAGATCTGAAATCCATGCTACTCCTTGGCAAGAGTCAACCTCTCACATCGCCTTCTGAAAGTTTTATTGCTTTGCTCTAAAAATTTTCATCTTCCTGGATTGGTATCAAGCAGGACATAAGATAGGGGTTGAATTAAATTTAAAAATTTTATTTCATGCTTTCTATTGTCTTGTAAGTATCATGTTAATGTTAGTAAATTCACTTTTATGCAGGGTCTTTTCTGATTTTTCATATTAGTTAATATTTGCCTTTATATTTTATAATCTTGCACATGGAGAAGTACTTGTCTAAAAATATTTTGTTTCTGTCTAGTTCTATCCTGATTATTCATCCATTTTATCTACTGCACTGAATTAGGTCTCCAGAGCAAAATTAAGCGGAAACAACAACAATGGGAATTCTTAACACAGTTATGGACTTTAAAACAACAGATTCTTACTCATCTTATTAAGGAGCTTTAAGGTACAATCTCTAACTTTTATTGTCAGGTTGTTAGGTTAAGTTTCAACAAATTGGTTTTCTTTTTTATTAAAATTGTATTATTATTATTACAGGGAGCAGTCAGAGGACATGAGGGAATCAGTGTCAGTTGTCTCCTGCGCCGTGATTCATGTCAGCAGGCTTGGCTGCAGGAGCCTTCACCTGCCGAGCCATCTCACCAGCCCCAGATTAACTGTTTAGAGTACAGTGGGCTAAACAACAGCTCCCAAAGACAGCTGTGTTGTAGTTTAGCAGTTGCGAGAATAAATTACTATATACAACAAACCCACGTGGAAATTTATTGCTAGGAGGGGTGAAAGAGGAGGTCGGGACAGGACGTGTATGGCGTGGCTGCATAATGCTCAGTACGCATGCGTAAAAGCCCCTTTTTAAAGTACGCTCCACCCGTTCTTGTTCTCTCTTCATCGATTCCCTTTCCAGCCCCCATCAATAAACTTCCACGTGGGTTTGTTGTATATCATGATCCGTTCTCTCTGCCGATAAACTACAACAAACTGTGTCCTCATCTCAAAAGCCTGTGCATATGCCTTAAGTGGCAAAGTGACTTTCAGGTGTGATTAAGATTTCCAAGCATGGAGAATATTATGAATTATCTAGTTGAGTCAATGAAATTGCATGCTTCCTTATGGAAGGGAGACAAGGTCATAGCCAAAGAGAAGACAGCAAGAAGATGCTACTGAACCAGTTTTGAAGACAAAGGACGGGGCCCTGTCCAAGGACAAGGGGCAGCTTCCTGAGCTAGGAGCAGCAAATTCTCCCGTGAAGCTTCCCGCACTCTGAGAGTACTTTAATCTACGCATGATGATTCTGCGTTTAGATTTCTAACCTTCAGAAGACTTTTGCTCTTTCGAGCCAGTACACGTGTGACCATTTCTTGATAGTAGCAGAGCCAGACACAGGGGTCCTGTATTGCATCTAACCTCCTCAGACTCTGAGGTGATTCTGTCAAATTACAGAAAGCTGGTCAGCAAGTCATGCCCAGATCGAGATGCCTCTTGCATACCTAAGACCTCACATTTTTCATTCAGTTGGGATTTAGTTTGAAAATAGCATATTTAGACTCTTCAAATGCATGCTCATAAATGAGAACAGCCTTCAGTTTTCCTTTCTTACAGTAACTGTCTTATATCTGAGATCCTGGACTTGTAAAAGGAGCTGAGAAGTGCAACTTCTTTTATTGTTACATAGGCATGTTTTATAAATAGGATTATATTTCCTTAAAGGCTCTACAAAGTCTATCTGTGAGGATAGGAGACAGGGACCTTCTCAAACACGCTCGTGTTTGAAAGCAGATTTTTCGCATCTTGTACATGTTCTGAACTCATGCTGGGGAATTCCATTTCCTGGTGTCATTTGTTCAAACTTTCTCCAACTCACTACACTAAAAGAAATCTGTGATATCCACCTCTTTGATATCTTATCTGGCATGCAGTTATCCCTACTCTTCACTTTCTACTATATTCATTGGTGACATCTCTGTCTTTTATCTGTTCTAATCTTGGGAGTACTTAGCTTTTGGTTTAGTTCATCTTCCTTTGATTTATATTCCCTTCTTCAATTTTCTTAATTTTTTTGTATTTTGAGGTTTCTCTATTATTTCTTTTTATTTTAATTGAATATTTGATTTTATTATTCTCAATCATTTGATTTCAAGCTTATATGTAACCACTACATATTTTTTTAAAAAAAATGAATAAAGTGAACTTTTTAAAAATAATTGTAGCCCCTCAAGCTCACGGAAATGTTATTAGTCTGCTCCTTCTGCCATCTGTGTAACTTCTACAACTGAACTTTCATTTCCCATCATCAAAAAATGAGTCTTCTCATCTCAGAATTAAAATAGCTGGTGCTGTGTAACAATCAAAACAGAAATTCACAGAATCCTGGTCCAGGAAAGAATTCTGCTAGCTCAGTTATGTCTTTACACACACACACACACACACACACACACACACACACACACACACACACACGGCTTCTCTGCCCCTAACTCACTTAATAGCCGTGACTGGTTAAGCACCGAAAGGCCTCTTTGATTCATTACACTTGAAGGGGGCTCCTGCACAGTCGAGGCGCCCTCCAGACCCCTGATTAGGCACAAACCACACCAACCACCTGTGTTCACAGAGATCCTTTACTGAGCAGGGAAGAAAAGTTAAAGTGGCAGAATTGTGCTGCTATGAAAAACGCTCTGAAATGGTGACTCTAATCAGGTAAGTTTATTCTCCCTCAGAAAGATGAGGAAGCCGTCTGGGCCAGTGAGACACTTCAGTTCCGCGAGGTCATTCAAAGACACAGCTCCAGTCTTTTTGCTCCATTACCTCGGGATTTTTGTCCTGTCCTGTCTGTAAGCGCCAGTCTGGGTCGCCGGCATGATTGCAACCCAGTTAACGCGAAGGAGGAGCCGGAAGTGGAGCCCATCCAAGTTTCCGCTCTGGCAGGGGTGGCAGTTGCGCACCGCACCTTCCCACTCCTCCACAGCACAGACACCTCGCTCTCTCGCTTGGATCCTGAAGCACCTTGCTTACCAGAAATGTACTTTTAACTTAGGCATAAAAAAATATTCCAACAAGCCCAAATTAAGGGCTGTTGTGCCCTCTACATTTCAGTAACGTCATGATCTCAGAAGACAAAGAGTTATTTCAGGTCAAGGGAGACTGAGGTCATGTGACAAGTAAATGCAAGGCATAATCTTAGATTCTGATTCTGGGGAACAAAAACACAAATAAGAACCAATCACAAGGCCTGTGTAGAAACAACAGATTAATAGGTCCTCGTTAATGGCCCTGTTCTGGTAGTGTTTTATGGCCGTTTGATTGCTTGCTTGTTTGTTTGTTTAAATCTCCCAGCCAAACCTTGGTTCTGAAATCCAGACTAGTACATTCAGCTGTTTAAGGGAAGTCTCTATAAGGTGGCTGTAGGCATTTGAAGCCTACCATTCCCATATCTTGGGGAAATCTCTTTTTTCAAAAGTCTTTTCTGGCCATGTTGCAGTGGTGCACGCCTTTAATCACAGAAATTGGGAGGCAGCAGCAGGTGGCTCTCTATGCGTTCTCAGCCAACCTGAGCTACAAAGAGAGTTCCAGGACAGCCAGAGCTGTTACACAGAGAAACCGACTTGAAAAAAAAAAAAGTCTTTTATTCATGACTAAATACCACCACTACCCATGCAGTCACTCAAAGCCCACACTGTGACAATGTTTTCTATACACGACCTACTAGTAAAATTTGTATATGCATATCTCAAATCCATTTGACTTTCTCAGTCACATTGCTCTGGCTCTAGTCTGAGCCACCTCATCTCTTCTGCAGTTTGTTGTCATGATTTCTTAATTAGTCTTCCTGCTTTGACTAGGCCCGGCATAGTCATTCTCTGAACATGAGTATATCTGATCTCTTTAAAACATGAGTGAGCTCCAGTTCCCATCTGGCTTAAGGTGAAGTAAGTTGTGTATAATTCCTTCACCCTCCCTTGCCTTCAAGCATCCTACGCTCCGCCTACTCCCTCCACCCCTCTCCAGCATCCAGGTACATGTGTGTGCTTCTTTAAGAACTGGGGTTAGTCTGCTGCAGTAGAAGTCCTCTGCCATGTCTTCTCCATTGCCTAGGTTGCCCCTCTGATTGCCTGCATCCTTTCCTTAGTCGTCATTTGACTAGTTCTTCGTCCTTCTTCGCATTCAGACTTCAGATCAAAGGTTAGCTTCTTCTAGAGCAGCGAACCGCAAAAGACCATCAGAGAACACAGATATTTACATTAAAATTCATAACAGTAGCAAAGTTACAGTTATGAAGTAGCCGTGAAAATAATTTTGTGGTTGGGGGTCAGCACAACAGGAGGACCTGTGTTGAAGGGCTGCAGCACTAGGAAGGCTGAGAACTATTGCTCTAAGGCTCTTCTTAGCTCCCCAGCTTTAAACATATCCTTCTAATTATTCTCACTCTCAGCAACCTGTCCTTCTTCTCTATAGCCCATAGAATAATTCGTCCATTTGTTTGGGCTTATTTTGATTTTTGAGACAAGTCTCATATCCTCCTGCTTCTATCCTCCACCTCTTAGACTTGTGGTACCCTACCCAGTTAGGATAACTTTTCTCTGCAGTGCTGTGATCTGTATGGTGTCTATCTCCTGCTAGACTAGGAGCTGAATGAACCCTCTAGTGGTTTGAAAGAGAATGGCCTCCGTAAGCTTGTGTGTTGGATATTTGGTCCCCAGCTGGTGGAACTGTTTGTCAAGGATTGGAGGAGGCAAGTCCTTGGGGAAAGGTTGTGAAGTTTCAAAAGCTGGCATCATTCCCATTTATCTTTCTGCCTCATGACTGTGGATCAAGATGGAAGTTCTCAGCCTCTGCTCTAACACCATGCCCGCCTGCCTGTTGCTGTGCTCCCAGCCATGATGCTCAAGGACTCGGCTTCTGAAACATAAGCCCCAATAAACTATTTTATTGACAAGTTGCTTTGGTTACAATGACTTATAACATCCATTAAAAACAAGTAGACAAAAGCAAAATCCAGGTCCTTTCTGTCTCCCTTTACATGTCAAGTGCCTAGCTTACCCTCACTCAACACATAGTGAGTGCTGTAGTGTGAGGCATGCACCATAGGTTCCTGCATTTGAACAGGGTCCCTGGCTGGGACAGAAGGCTAGGAAGAGCGTGGAATATTTAGGATTTGGCGCTTCACTGCAAGAAATGGGTCACTGGGGATGGACCTTGAGGCTTAATAGCCCAGCCCCTCTTCTTACTCACCCTCTGCTTCCTGAGCACAGATGTGATGTGACCAGCAAGCTTCCTGCTCCTGCTGTGTCATCTCTGATTGCTGCCATGTCTTCCCCCTCCATGGTGGACCATATGCCTCTGGAACCATGAGCTAAAATAGCCCTTCCTCCCAAGGTGATTTTCTCAGGGACATTTATCAGAGTGACAGAGAAAGAAATTTAAGACTGGGAGCAATCACATAACTAGATGCCTGTGCTGAAAAATTCAGCCACCCTTATCACTGGGACTAGAAAGCTCCAGATCTGATTCTCTGAATAAAATGTGAAATGTGAGTCCCACTCAGGAAAGCTCAGCTCGAGCCTCAGTTAGTTCTGTGGCATACATGCTGCTTGCTGCCTGCTCCGGAGCACCTGACCAGATTCGCTTTGTGTTGTAGTGTTTCCATTGTAGAGGAGGCGCTGTTCTGATGACCTCACAGATAGAGAGCACATATATTGCTTAGAAAACAGTGACAGAAATTGGCTAGAGCACCTTCTTAACATGAACCGAGTGACCTCAAACCTCCGTAGGTCATTCTTCTAACCACTCCNCCCCCCCCCCCCCCCCCCCGAAAGAGCTGACTTTTCTGTCATTGGAAGTGCACATCAGGCTTCAGTATAAGCCACAAGCTCTGGGTCCCAGAACTATGTTCACCAGCAGATTCTATACTAAAATTTGCCTCGTTGCGCGTGTGCTTCAGGCAGAATATTCTGGATGGAGCTCTGGTGGAAGTTCTTCCACAGCCTCCTGAACTTTGGAATTGCTATGTCCTGAAGTGATCTGGCTTAGAATAATTTGGCTTTGAAGATTTTGTTGAGAATACATTAGCTCCAGAAGCAAAATGAGAAGGAATGAGGATATTTCATTTTAAGGGTTTTACTCTCGCTCTGGAAATTTGGTAATAGAAACAAATGAAGTATTGAGGCTTCCAGCTTTCACCCTCTTGTCACTCTGCCGACAAGACTGCTGTGGGTAAACCTCTCCAATTAGCTGAGCCATAGAATCCAAACGAACAGAGTGCCACCATGAATTAATGTAAGCACTGTCAGAAAGGCCAATGGCTTGGTCTTTCTTTCCTTGAGAGATATCCCTGATTTTAGACATAGCTTTTAAACTTCAAGGAATTAGCAAAACCAATAAGAAACCTGGGGGAGGGGAGGATTAGGAGAAGAGAAACAACTAGTAAGAGTTGACACTGGTTTAGTTGCAATAAATTTTTTTTTTTTTTGAAACAGGGTTTCTCTGTGTAGCCCTGGCTGTCCTGAAACTCACTCTGATCAGGCTGGTCTTGAACTCAGAGCTCCACCTGCCTCTGCCTCCTGTGTGCTGGGATTAAAGGCGAAGAAACAATTCTTAAAACAAACTGGTTAAAGGGGAAAGAGATTCGCTAGAAAGACATTCACGTGACTGAAGAGTTAGACAGGAGCCAAGTTGTCCCTGGCACCATCCTGGTGACTCACTGGGTTACCATTCCCAGGTTCCCTGCCATCTCAGTCTAAGAGGTAAGGTGTAGAGACTGGCAACAGTGATTCACAACCTCCTCAAAGAGAAGAGGGGTAGATGGGGAAACAATGTGCTCAGTGAGTCATCTAGGAAGAAAGAAAACGCCTCAAGGAAGAATTCTGATTAGCCCAGTTTAGGTTAAAAGCATAGTAGGGAACTGCAGTCCTGGGAATATGATGGCCAACCCAGATGATTTGCGTCTCCTGTAGGACTCTGAGGCAAGGAGGTCTGAATGTCAACTCAATTGGAGTGCCAGGAAAGCATGGGCAGGGGAAGGGCATCTGCTTCCTCTTTTATTAGCAGAAGAAAAGACGGAAAGGTGGCTGGGCCACACCTGGCTCTTCGAATCATTCTATCTAAGGGGAGCATGGGAAAGGAGGCGGGGAGAACTGGCTGTGGAAGAGGGAAGGTCTTATAGTCAAAATTAAATTTTTCTTCATTTTATTTAAAGTGTAGAATGACTTTTTCCTTTATTTACAGAGACATGAATATATATTGAAACTAGAAGCAAAAAGATTCCCACACAGAGTTTACATGCATACGATTTTATTTCATCATAGTTTTTAAGAGAAAGACATTTGGGCAAAATAAAGGTCTTAAAATAGCCATGTCATCATCTTTGGAAACAGGGCTATGCCATCTTACATGGCAAAGAAACTTTTAAAATTTTGCCTAGGGTACCAACAACATGCAAGACAGAAATCACCTGGATTAAGTAAGCTGACCCAATCCATCTCTGCAATACTAAAAATCGAGAACTCTCTCCTGGCTATGGCTAAAGAAGGAAAATGAAGAAATAAAGTCACAGACACATGATGTTGTGGGTACTGAACATGGGAGAAGAGTTCTGGGAGTTAGGCCACACAGATGACCTCCTTGGAAAAGGTAAGGAGACTTTGTCTACTAGAGTAGAGCGTTCAGAAAGGACCCTGGTCCAGCCAGGCAGTGAGGAAAGAGTGGAGCAAACGAAGCTCTCACCCACAAGAGACCCAGACCTGGAGGACACCATTGCCAGGGCTTCCAGCACGGCTCATGCAACCCTCCCCCCTTTGAAGTCTATCCAACATGACTAGCGAAATTATGTATTGGACATTTGAACAAAGCAGAGAGAGGCTCTTGTTCTTAGGATGTCCATCCTCTAACTACAGGTCCCAGCTGACTTTCTCACAGAGGAAATTCTCTTCTGAGAGATAGAGGCTATTATTATCATCACATTTTACCCAGGTCTTGAGCCTGACTCTTGGAACCCTGGAGCCTGGCAGAAGAAGGGCAGGTCTACTTGTCTAGCCGCAAGTGTGGATTCAGACTTCCATAGTTCTTTCTCGCCCTGTTGTAGAAAGACAGGACAATTATGCAACCAGGAGGAGAGGAGCCCTTCACAGAGGAATCTGGTTGAGGTCTCTTGCCAGTAGAGAAGCAAGAATTCTACCACAATTAACATCCGCTGAAATCCTATATCCCTTCCTGTGGATACTTCCAACTCTTCAGGAATCCCACCAGAAAAACCATTGCTCTCACCTTATCACACTGTTCTTGATCCACCTCACTTACCACCTTTATCAAAATAAAAATAAAAAAGGCATTGGGCTCTCAGGGTAGTTGGCATAGTATGGATCAACACACCTGCAACGGATGCCTGGATAGCTTGCTTGGCTTAGAGCCATCCTAACAGAACTCACCTCTCCTCCCCACTATAGAAGAGTCAGCTCCAGCTCTGGCCCTCCTGCTGCCTCTCAGCATGTGTCAGCTGCTTGCACTGAGCCACAATCCCTGCTGATGGTCCAAAGATGAAGAGCAGTAAGCGCTTTCTCCAAGGGATGCCCAGACACTAGACGGCTGATATCAACCTTTGCAAAGACACAATGGCGACAGAGAATGAATCCCTTAGTACTGCACATACTTTATCTCTCTCTTTCCTTTAAGAAATTGTTTTTTATTTTATGTGCCCACATGTATGTGTGTGCACTACATGTGTGCATGTGGGTGCTGGAAATTGGACCTCTGTCCTCTGCAAGAGCAGCAAGTACTCTTAGCTACTGATCCATCTCTCTGACTTCTATTGCCTTCCTTTTTTGTTATTGTTATTTGTTAGTTTTTTGAGACAGGGTTTCTGTGAGTAGCCCTGGGGGTCCTGGAACTTGTTCTGTAGCCCAAGCCAGCCTCGGCCTCACAAGTGCTGGAATTAAAGGCACATGCCATCACTGCCTGGCTTCCTTCTTAAACTGAGCACAGTAAACCATTCCCCCCAACCCCTAGGCCTTTGCACCAGCTGTTCTACCTCTGCTTCAAATGCCCTCCTGTATGGGAATTCAATCCATTTCAGTCCTGACATTTGGGGTGACCAGCCCTATGAGCATGCCTTTCTCTGGATGCATGATCAGATAAAATTGAGGAGAGGGCACATGCACAGGCATTCTCTCTCTGTCTCTGTCTCTCTCTGTCTCTCTCTCTGTCTCTGTCTCTCTCTGTCTCTCTCTCTCTCTCTCTCTCTCTCTCTCTCTCTCTCTCTCTCTCTCGTGGTTGGAGCAGGAGCAAGCCTTGCAGCTGGTCCTCATCGCCTGTGGACAGAATGGCAGAGCAAGAGCAGCTGGATCAGCAGCTGCATCTACCTTGTTCTGTATTCGTGAGTTTCCATAGCATCCCTTAATAAATTAATGACCAGACTTTGCAGATTCTCACTTCACCCTCCCTAAAATTTTACAATTTCTGTTTGGTTGTTATCTGTCTCCTCACTAAAACAGCCTTAGGAAGAAAGGAATTATTTCTTCTTTCCTCACCCCACACCATCATCTAGAATCTGTGCGTGCTCACAGCCCGTCTTGGACTCATCTTGTAGAATAAGTAAATGGAATCTACCAGAGATAAGTTCCTAGGACCTACTGGATTGTCACAAAACTGTCTTAGTTGGGGTTCTACTGCTGTGAAGAGACACCATGACCACAGCAACTCTTATAAAGGAAAACATTTAATTGGGGCTGGCTTGCAGTTCAGAGTTTTAGTCCATTATTGTCATGGCAGGAAACATGGCTGCACACAGGCAGACATGGTGCTGGAGAAGGAGATGAGGATTCTACATCTTGATCCACAGAAACAGGAAGTGAAGGTCACACTAGATTTGACTGAAGAATTTCAGACTTCAAAGCCTGTCCCCTAGTGACACACCTCCTCCAACAAAGCCACACCTACCTAATAGGGCCACTGCTTATCAGCCTATGGGAGCCATTTTTATTCAAATCACCTCAATAACCATGCCCTAAGAAGGCCTGGAAATCAGCTTCAATCAAGTGAACAAGAGGTTGGTCAGCTAAATTGTATCTCTCCCAATCCACCCTCCTTTCCCTTGTACCCCTAAACACTCTCCCCTCCCCTTGTACCCCTGAGTACTCCTCCTCTCCCTCCCCTTGTACCCCTTGACAACCCTCTCCTCTCTCCCCTTGTATCCTTGAACACCTCACCCCATCCCTTCCTCCCCTTGCACCCCTGAACATCACTCTTCTCCCTCCCCTTGTATCCCTGAACACCCTACCCATCCCTCCCCTTGTTCCCTTGGACACACCTTCACTACATACTAACAGGCATCATCTGCTTTGCTCTTTCCATGAAGGCCTAGAGGTGCCTTGGAGCCGAGGCTGTAGCTGTAGCTCCTGATATGGGACAGGGACCAGAGGGGCATCTGTTAAATGATTTCTCTAAAGGGACAAAATTGCTGAGACCTATTACATGCACATCACCCAAAAGACATATCGTGAAAGCTGTAGTCAATAAATAGGTCATTACTGAATCCATCTTCATTGTATATCTGGAGAAGACTTAGAAAGTCTCTCGCTTTGAGTCTCAGTTTCCCAGCCTACTGAACAAACGTCAACACTTCAAGACTTTCCTGGCATAGAGTTTGGACCATAATACAGAGAGACCTACTCCTCAGCACTGTAATGAATGCCAACTGTGGAAATCCTGAAAGATCCCAGAGGTCTGAAATCACAAGAGGTTAACACACAAGCATTCTAAGTTTTTGATTAAAAATGTACTTACTTGTCAGAATCTGATGAGGAATTTATAAAGTGCTCTAGAACATTCATAGGCCACTTTCTGCAGTAACAGATAATAAGAGCATACACACCCCCGAACGCATGAACATACCTGTTCACTAAGATAGCAGCGCAGACACAATGGCTCTGACAGACAAACTGAACTCATGAAGAACCAGAGCAGAAAGCAGATGTCCCAAAGAGTGTGGCAAACAGGCAGCTCAAGCCTTCCAGCAGTGGTGGGCTACCGACACATGGAGTTGCTCTCAGAAACGAGCTCTTCAGGAATTTACCCAAATGTAGGGGGTTTAGACATGTTTTAATTTCTTCGGTGCACAGACAGGGATGACACACAGCGTTCACACTGTCAACTGTACTGTGTGGGCTACACTTTGCAAGAAGATGCATGAGACAAGTTAGAACTTCCTGAAAGTATAGAGCTCACAGTGACGACGTTGGGAATGAGGGGAGGATGACACACACAGTGACTCTAACCATGAAAAACGTGCCGGCAATTTAGAGAAAAAGAAGAAAAGAGAAGTGTGTTGCATTAGCAGTGAAGAGTGCATGGGATCAGTGAGGGGCAGCTGCATGGCCAGAGGCTGAAGGTGCAGGCAACTTTCACAACCGCTAAGTGCGTCTGGAAGCCCCGGGCTGCAACTCACTGTGGCAAGCTGCGTGGTGACACACCTGATGGAGATGTATAATCAACTCCTATGGCTAAAGTCTGACCTATGCCTGATCACACAATGATCATCAGCTGCCTGCATATGCGTGAACCTATGGACGGTGCCCACCTGGCAGTTCGGGATTGGCAGCCCATGCCTACTTAAGGGCAGAGAGATTTGCCCAGAGAGAGGAGAGAGAGGAAGGAGAGAAGAGAGAGAAAGAGAGAAAGAGAAGAAGGAGAAGGAGGAGAAGGAGAAGGGGATATATTGCTGTGAATAAAGTCCTGAAAACTACTGCAAGAAGAGTTCCGGGTGTTGCGTTTTTCCTTGCTGGTCGAGGGTGGACGTGACAACTCACAGCTGGTCTCCGTGAGCACCTTCAAGTCCGTCTCCTCAGAAGCTGACCTTTTCCCAGCCGTCAGTGCAGGTTTGGGCGGTGGGGCTTTCAGGGTTCATTGTGTGGATTATGATGCTTAACTGACATCTCTGGATTTTGAGCCTCCCTGCCTGGCACAGAGTCAATTTTCACGAAACAGAACAAAGGAACACTCAATTTACTAAGGCGTCATATATATATATACACATATATAGTGACAATCACCATCTTGAGGTCTAAGGATAAGAAATGCCATTCAGGGCTGGAGAGATGGCTCAGAGGTTAAGAGCACTGGCTGCTCTTCCAGAGGTCCTGAGTTCAATTCCCAGCAACCACATGGTGGCTCACAACCATCTGTACTGAGATTTGGCGCCCTCTTCTGGCGTGCGGGCATACATCGAGGCAGAATGTTGTATACATAATAAATAAATAAATCTTTAAAAAAAAAAATGCCATTCACTTTCCCATGTGTACCAAGACACTTACTTCAGTTTATAAAAAAGATAATATGGAAAGAACAATAAAGATTAAATCTTACTGTTTTTCAAAGCCACAAGAGAAAATGATAAGTAATACTATGACTTTAATATAATTTTAGATGAACAAGAAACTAACTAGGCAGTAAAAGCACTTTAATTCCTACTTCAGATTCAGGAAAATACATTATGAAATCTCTCATTTTTTGCAGAAAAAGAACTGTTAATGTAGTAACTCAGGAGTATGTCCCAAACTTCCACAGTGAAATGAGCCCATCTTGTGGCCTTTTAGAATATTGCTGCTCTTTGATTCTGTGTTACTGGCTAACTACAGATGTCAAGGGTGGACCCTGCACAGAGTAGCAAGCTAACTAACGGCTGTGGACACAGAGATAAGAATTATGAGGGGAGGAAAAGTAAAAGTTTTACCAGAGTTCATATCAACCTGGAGAAGAGGCAGACATGTAGGCAAACAGAACCGTGGAATTGCATTGTTAGACAAAGGTATACACTTCAGTCACTACACCGCAGGGCTGAGGGAGGCGTGGGTCCCCAGAACGTGGGTCCCCCAGAACGAAGCTGATATACCCTGCTTCCCTAAATACTAACCCCATCACCAAAGCGCTTAGAGGGTGAATTAATATTAATTTCCAGACTCCTGTTTCACAAAGAAAAGCTATAGAGTTTCTTCACCGAGTGAGCCCACAGAAACCCAAGAAGTCCGTAGCTCAGAGTGCACCCACTGGTCCTTCCCAACTGGCTTCCTTTGTGTTCCCTGTCAGTAAGTAAGTAAGTAGGGTTCTTTCTCCCTGTGCCCACTCACGATCTTAGCTTTCAGGAAATGGAGAGGTGAATATCTATTTTGAGAACGTAAAGGAAATGACAAGGAATATTTTAATTAGAAAAGAGAGGAAGCAAGAACCCCATCATTTAGAACTCGGTGGCTTGGCAGACAAAAATGGAATCAAGGAAAGGAGATAGCCTGGCTCGGAACCTCTGGAGGAGGGAGCACTTCCTGTCTCAAGCTCTGAGGTCTTACTATGCAGAGAGTGGTCAGCTAGGAAGCTCTGAGACGGAGGTGCTGGGATGAGAGCCCACAGCAGGGAAAGCTGGCCTCTCATCCTGCAGTTACATGACAAGTGCTCGGACTGGCTTAAATGGATAATGTAATGGAGATGCAAAGGGATCTCCTACCATCCAAGGGCAAGTCAACAGCAAGAGGAATCAGAGCCAGATCTTCTCAGGCTGGTAGTAAAAGAGAAGATTATCAGGAAAGCGGTGGTCAGTGGGTCCTAGCGGAACACAAGAAGTAAAATAGATGAAATACATCTCAGGGGCCGGTAGCCATACACATCTAAGGAAGAAAACACTGGCCAAAACTAAGGGTACGATGTCACAGACCCTGACATCTCCATCTTTCTGCTCTCTGTGTGCAGGGCACAGCCTTCACTTGCCTGCATTTATACCCACATGTCACTCTACAGAGATTCTCCCTAAAAATCAATCTCCCTTAAATAGCGAAACAGAGGAATTGGGGAAAGGTTGAGTATTTTAAGTTGTCCTTCCATGATGTCAATGTGTCTGGATATGGGGTTTTATTGCAAAATCAAATTAAGAAATAATATCAGAGGATATAGGAGAAAAATAGATTTTATGTCAACATGGGTTCTTTGGTGGAAGAGTACAAGATGCAAAATGTTTTATTTTTTCTTCGTGTTTCTCTTTTTAATCAGTTGTTTCAACAAACCCTCTAAACACCTATCTTACACCAAATGTGATGCAGATAACTGATCCAAACATGATTTGAGGAAAAAGGATTTCTTCCTTCCTCCACGGCTTTCTAATCTGGACACTAGATGACTCTTTGAACGCTCTGCTCAGCAACCCTTTGTTGATTGCTATGTGAGCAGCCCAAACTGTGATGAGGAGCCGGACATTAGCAGCAGGACCAGGAAGGGTCAGCATTTCATCAAGATGACCCACACACTTGGAGCTGTGAAAGAGACAAGGAGAGGAGGACTTTGCCACATCCTTCAGACCTCTAGGCTATCGTCACCCTCTCTAAGATAAAGGTTTCGCATCAGTTTTGCAGTTAAGAGATTGTATGTCAAGTATCAATGTAACAGTTTCATTCATAAATCCCTTTTCAATCAGTGGATGATTCTCTTGTTCTTCCCCATTAATTCAGTCCATTCATGAGTATTAGTTGTGGCTGCGTACCAAGGGAAGTATACCAGACGCTTGAGTTAAACAGTCAGAAGACCTGTCAGGTCCTACTGCGTGTTTTCTTCGTCCACCAGTTGCCCCTCTCTAAGGATCCACAGGACTCCAGACCTCTGCCTTTCATTTTTTCATTTATTAGGGCCCAGCAATACGGGCACCCACCTTTAATCCCAGCACTCAGGAGGCAGAGGTAGGTGGATCTCTGTGAGTCTGAGGCCAGCCTGGTCTACAGAGAGAGTGCCAGGACAGGCCTCAAAGTGACACAGAGAAACCTTGTCTCAAGAAACTAAAAATTAATTAATTAATTAACATCTTATTTAGCTCACAGTGTAAAGGTTCAGATTTAGCAGTGGGAGGCTCCGTTTGTTTTGGCCTCTGGGAAAGGTGGAAGAAGATCATAGCAGAACTACTGTTAAGTCTGGAGTGTAGCCACCAGCCCTGGCATCCATCCCAGCCCCCTGGTCTGGGAGTATATCAGTCATATGAATGTCTGAATCCTTAGCCAGGAGGAAGACAGAAGAATGGGCAAGGTTCTGCAGTCCCTTTCGAAAGCAAGCCCTCTAAGACCTAAGGACTGCCCTTAGGCACTACGCCCTAAATACTGACAACCCCTTCAAGTACCACTGCCCTGGGTAGAGTTGGCACATGGGATTTTGCAGACAACAATGCATAAACTACAGCGTTTTTCCCCTTATAGCAAACTTGTTCACACAGCCACCCACCTGAAGATTTATGTTCACCCAGCCAGGAGCCAAGTTGCGCTAGCACCATACTAAACTCGGGGTTTCTATAGGGGGCCCCTGCCTGCTCTGAGTGACAGAAAGGGGAGCAGAACACAAGCCCTACTCAGAAATTTGTCATTGTTGTTCTCTGATAGAGCACCATGTATCCCTAGCTGGCCTCGAGCTGACTGTGTAGCTGAGGATGTACTTAAACTCCTGATCCTCTTGTCTTCATTTCCCAAGAACTGGAATTGCAAATGTTCACCTCCATGGCCAAGCTACACAGTGCTGGAGATGAGACTGGGGGCCTTGTGTAAGCTGGGCCAGTGCTCTGTCAACTGTGCTGCTCTACTCAGATTTTTTCTCAACATCATTTTAGAGTTTCTGTTACCACAAAAGACTTAAACTGTGTAGGACGGGCTTCTCTAGCAGAACCAATAGAATACGTAAATATTATAAAGACAGATTTATTGGATTAGCTTACTCAGCCTGAGCTGGATAGTCCAACAGTGGCGGCCTGGTGCTGAGGACACCGACAGACTGGCAGCTGCTCAATCCACGGAGCGGGATAACTCAGCGATCCCAACCGCGTACTGAGAGTTGGCAGATTCCCGAGAGGTGCTGGTCCTTGGCACTTGTTGGAAAGCCAGTGTAGCCGCTCACTCGAGTCAGCAAAGGTTGGTAGAGGTAGCAACGGCCACATGGGCTCAGCGAGAAGCAGAGGCAGGCGGCAGCGACGTGCACTGCAATGTGTCCCCTTCATGATTGGAGGGCCTGTAGAGCTGACGATGAGATTAGCTTTCACAGCATGAGCAAAGATAATAGAGGCCTTCTAGCTCACAGCTTCCCTTCTGCTGGCCTCTCCCCTCATTCCAGGTTTCTCAGTCCAGGTGCCCCCCCCCCTTCCTGCATAACACAATTCTGTATCCTCCCTACTCTAAAGTTTTCAGTAGGATTCTGCTTGAGTCCTCCAAGATCTGAGTGTTGTTTATTTAAGCTAATTCAGAAAACCCTTTTCTTCTTGAAGTGCGATTGCAATCCAGCCTGCAGGAGTACTGCCCCCACTGGGAATAATGTTGAAATATGTCGTCTCATTATTATAGGTTTGTCTTGCTCCCAAATCACTGAATGGGTGAAGAACCTTAAAATACAAATAATTTCAGTACAGAAGAGTAAGGAACTCGGCTTAAAATCTCTGAACCCTGTTGCTTAGACTTGGACAATTACTTTAAAAATGTTACTCTCTCACGCAGCGCTACAAGTGACTTTTCAACAGAAACCAGATCTGTCTGCGTTCGTCCCTATTGGGTTCTCAATTAATGAAGACATGGTCCTTGCCCTCACGATGCCAGACTTCCCAGACAGATAATGACGCAGCCGCGATGTAGTACGCTCCCATCTGTAGCAAGCGCCTCCCGAGGATGCTTAAGTGCGCCTGAACTCAGAAACGTGTGCAGAGAGGGCGCCCCAGAGGAAGTCGTAAACGAGCTGGAGTCTGGGCAGTAAAGAGATGTTAGCTGATAAAACACTGGCAAAGGACTGTAATTGAAGCTCAGACTTTGGGTTGCTTTTGAAAAGCACAGAAAGCCACTGAAGTATATAAACAGGAGGCT